TACTGTTGTTTTGGTGCCTATATGTTAAAGTTGACTCATATCCCAGCCCTTTGACACGTGGCCCAGGCTGAACTCTTTAAATTTGTCACCATGAAGCTTTTTCTCAAGTCCTCAAATAATATCTGTGGCTATTTTGCCTCCACTCTAGTTTTGTAATACCTTTAAAAATCTGGTAGATCACAGGGAGGGGAGGAAATGGAAGCAGCCTGGACGGAGGCCAGTAGGCCAGCCAGAGGGCACAGCAGGTGGGTAAGGAAGGCATTTGTAGTGCAAGGAATGTGCTTCCTTCTGGGATATGCACTGAAGCTGGGACTTCCTGAGTCTTGGCATTCCTGAGCCACGTACCAAACTGTCAATCCTTCTCTGACTGTAGTGGTCTCTGCTCAGATTATCCTCATTGGATGGGAAGGTCTGGGCCCTCTTGTAACAGGGGTTACAGAAATCTGCTTCTTTCCTTGGAAATATCTGATTTTCCTCCCTCTCAGGGTAGTTCTCTGCTTTATCTGCACCCTCATCCAGAAAGAGAGGCTTGTGTTTTAAGGTGTGACATCCTGTCGCCACTACACACTAGCACAGGCTTTTTTCTTCCTTCCAGTCCTGTTATTTGAAATCCAGAAGTTATATTTAAAATGTAACCCTAACTTTTGATCTAAGCCTCAACATTCAGCATGTGCCAGACATGGGGAAGGATCTGTGGTTTCAGAGCAGGATGCTGCCCTTCCTCTGGCAGGGCGTATCTGCATGACGGTGGGCAAGCCAGAGGGGTGGAGACTTTCCACAGTTCAGTGTTTGTGTCTTTCTTGTTATACAGCATGTGGTTTGGGAAAGCTGCAGAAGTGTTCACACTGTGTCAAGAGGCACTGGGGTTTGTCTGGTGGCCAAGGGGCTCTAGGAGGGCTGAATGTGGTGAAAGCCAGGCTCCAGTACCTCAGAGCCCTCAGAGTCAGAGACTTCGTGATCTAAGTCATCAACTTGTCAAGGGGAACAAACCACAGGTTGATGTGAAGGTCTCAGGAACTGTTTCTTGATCATTTAGCTGCAGTCCTTCAAAGAAACACAGGAGGAAACTTACTTGTTGCTAAGTTTGAGGGTTTGTGTAAAGCCAAAGCAAAAGAGGCATGAAGTACTGATCAATACCTGCATGGGACGGGGCCTGGAGGAGGCTGTGCTGTGAGAGTGCTGGGCAGAGGAGTGTACAGAGGCAAATTTGGGTTGAACTCATGATGAGTAAGTTTAGCTCTCGTGGTTGTATTCCTGGATTTTACATCTTTCACATTCTTTGGAGACAAAGTTTGTGTGTGTGGTTGTATGTGCTGGAAGCAATATCTGGATGATGGTGCATGTGATGTGGGGAGCAGTGTGCCTGGTGCAGGGGAGCTGGGTTGTGCTTGGCCACTGGAGGAAACAGGAGACAGCAGAAAGCACCAGGCTCTGTCCCTAGCTCAGCACTGCTGGTTGTAACGCTTGGTGCCGGGAGCCTGCACACAACAGCTGCAGGATCTTCCTTCTGGCTTTGGAAAGCCAATTTTCTGCACTCATTGCAGATTCATACTGTGAGACACTGCCTGTGGATGGCCCCCCCTCTTTCCGGGGACAGTCCGTGAAGTACGTGTACAAGCTGACCATTGGCTGCCAGCGCGTCAACTCCCCCATCAAGCTGCTGCGCGTGCCCTTCCGCGTCCTCGTGCTGCACGGTAAGGCCGCGTGCTGCCCTCCCTGCACGGGCAGGCCGGGCTGCACCCTGCCCTGCTGATGCTCTCACCTTCTCCACAGGGCTCAAGGATTACCAGTTCCCACAGGATGAAGCTGTTGCGCCCTCAAACCCCTTCCTGGAGGAGGAGGAGGGCTTGAAGAAAGACTCTCGCCTGGCAGACCTGGCAACAGAGCTGCTCATGGTGGCCACCTCCCGACGCAGCCTGCGTAGGTCATATTCCCTGCTCAAACCTGCTGTCCTTTCTAAGAAGCTGGTTATGGAGGGCCAGCTCAGCTCAGCCCAGCTCATGGCCAGCTGCAAAATATTTCTCACTGACAAAGTGAAGTTCCAACTATGGCTGTGGAGCAGCTCTATCAGGGCCTGCTTGGGTCAGGGCCTCCTAGCCAGTTTCAGGCTGTTCCTACTGCAGATCGAGAGACCCTCTGCCCAGCACATGGCAGCCAGTGGAGGGTTTGCCTTGCCCACTGCAGAAATTTCCCAGAGGAAGTACCACCTCTAGGGACTGTTCTTCACACCCAAACAGAAGGCATGAGGTCACGTCATTAACCCAGAGCACTCCACAGAGCAGAGCCTTGTGCTGCCACAACCCTTATCCCTCTTCTTGCTCCACAGATCTGTATAACATCAGCAACACTCGTGGGAAGGTGGGGACGTTCTGCATCTTTAAGACTGTGTATAAGATTGGAGAGGATGTCATTGGGACCTTCAACTTCTCAGAAGGAGATATCCCATGTCTGCAGGTCATTGCTGTGTCTGGGATTACTGGGGAGAGGCGGGGATTTAGGGTGAGGGATGTGGAGAAGGGATTGGGATGGCACTGGGCTGTGAGGGTTTCTGGTGGGGCCCAGCTGGGGTCATCTTGGAGTGTGAGGTGGACAATGGACCTGTCCTGAGCTCATTTGGGAAATGGAGCCCCTAAGGCTTTGCATGAGGTGTGTATGAGGTTGTGAGAGCAAGCACCCTGCCAATTGCCCTGCAGTTCTCAGTGAGCCTGCAGACAGAGGAGAGCATCCAGGAGGAGTTCCAGCGGCGGCGGGGGCAGCCTGTCTCCTTCACCATGCACGCCCGCCATCAGGAGTCCTGCCTGCACACGGCGCAGAGCAGCTTCAGCCTGCCCATCCCACTCAGCTCAACCCCAGGATTCACCACCAACATCGGTTAGTAGCCACCAGGGAAGGGACCCTCCTGCTTGTCTCTGCAGGAGGACGGTGATGTCCCCAGCCCTGCCCTTGCTCAGCAGAGCTGTGTCCCTTGGGAGGGAGCTGGCCTGTGTGAATGGGGTCATTTGCTGTCCCCTTGCCAGGACAGGCTGTGCTGAGACAGCTGCTGTCCATGGCCCTTGTGGGTGTTACGTGCTGACTACCCTCTTGCTCACAGTGTCCCTGAAGTGGAGGCTGCACTTTGAGTTTGTGACTTCTGGGGAGTCAGCGGGGACTTGCTTGGTTCGTGGGAGCCAATCGGAGGCTGTCACCTGGACTGGGGTGGAGCAGATGGAAGTGGACACCTTCAGCTGGGACTTGCCCATCAAAGTTCTTCCCACCAACCCCATCCTGGCTTCCTACGTATCTCAGTTCTCCAGCACTAACTCCATCACCATCTGATGTAGGGAGAGGTTGTTGGCTTGCAGAGCTGCAAGCGTGTGCCACCACTGGGAATGGCAGACAGGACTGTCACCAGTGTGCTGTGGTGCAGGCATCCCAGTGTCCCCTTGGATCCATCTGTGATGTCCAGGTGGGCACCAGGCGTATCTGTCCTGTCAATGGTTGGAAAAACACTGCTTGATGCAGTGTCTTGTGCTGCAGCCCCCAGCTGGAGCTGGACCCCTCCTGCCTGGGTGAAGGTGCAAGTCCCAGCACTCAGCAGAAAGAAATCTGCCTTCCCAGGGAACCGCTGATGTGCCTTGATCTCGTATGGGGCTTCCAAGAAGGAAAGGCCCAACCTAGGGAGGGGAGAGGGGAGCTCATCCAGTGAATCTTCGTACCACCCTTGGGTGAAGGCTGTGCCCTTAGAGAGACCCTACAAGCAGAGGTCTAGCATCCAGGTGAAGCACAGTGGCCACCTGGGCTGGGTGAGACCCTGCTCTCCTGGCATGTGTCCTCCCTCTTGGAGAGTTGTCCTACACATAGAGTCCAGTGCTCCAGCCACCCTCACCTGGAGGAGGCAGGTTGTGGCAGGCCAGCCCTGTGCTGCTGGCTTGTGCTGGTGAGCAGGATGCAGGCCTGGGCTGTTGTCTGCCTGGGTTCCTGGTGTGAAAGCATCCTGCTGGTCTTGGATCCTTGGGGTGCTGTAAGGAATGCATGCTGTGCATCTAAGAGCTGGCATGGAGATCTCTGCTCAACAGCCAGCTCCCCATTCTTACTGAACTTTCCAATGAGCTTTCCTCTTTGCATGGAAATGTAATAAACATCTGAATGTGCAAAACTCGGCTTTCCCAAGAGCCTTATTCCTATATTGTTCCCGATGCTGGACACATCCCACCTTCTACAGCAGTCACAGGCTGGAGACCTCTTTGTTCAGTATCTTTATTGCAAGAACAGAAACATCTACACAAGGCTCTGCACAACACAGGCATGGCACCAGCTGGGGCAGCTGCCAGGGTGGCTGCCTCCACCCTGGCACTTGGATTGCTCCTGCTTCCTGAACCCTCCCCACCCTGCTCCCTTGCCAGTGGGGATGGGGCTCTCCCCTGGGGACATCCTGTTCTGCCACCCGCCCTGGGCTGGCTCTGTTGCAGTGTTGCCCAGGGCTGGCCTGCAGTGCCAGGGACCCCAGGAGCTTTTGGAGCGGGGCATTAGTGGTTCCAGAGGTGGGTTGTGCCCCTTGCACTCCAGGAGCAGAGAAGGGGCTGGGCAGGGTGTGGGGATCCTGCACAAGGTGCCGCGGTGACCCCAGCGAGCTGCCCACGGCTGCTGTGCAGAGGAGTACAGGTCTGGGAGGGAGTAGGGAGCTGCTTTGTTTGGGGCTGCAGGAATGCAGGACTGCCATGGAGCAGGCTGATTTAGTCCTGTAGCCTTTTTTTAGTCACTGAAGGTTTTCTGCCCACCTGGAGGAGATCCTGTAGAATCTGCATTTCCACGGTGTGCAGAACACCTCACAGGGAGGACGCGCTGGTTCAGGAAGCTGAAGGCAGAAGCAGAGCTTGGTACCATGGTGTGTGGATAGTGGTTTCCTTCGAAGGTGCCGGCGGTGATGCCTCTACAGGGCGGGTGGGGCAGGTCTGAGCATGCGGGCGGTGTGCTCTGGAGGGGGGAGCGCGGCGCCGGGGGCCGCGGGCGCTGCCGAGACTCTATCTGCTCAGCCCCGCACCCAGCAGCTTGTTCACCAGCGGCTCGGGGGTGCTGGCCGAGCCCCACTCGTGCTCCACGCTCTTCACGCACGGCAGGCTGGGGTTGGCCTTCTGCACTACCGAGATCTGGCAGGTCTGTGAGTCGTAGTGAGCCTCGCACCAGTCAGGGAAGTCGATGGGGTGCTGGGTGCTGTGGGAGAGGACACGGTGCTGTCAGTACCCCCGTTAGTGCCGGGGCTGCTGACGGCTGCGTGTCTTCCTGCTGCCAGCCCCCTGCACAAGGTGTCTTCCAGACCAGCTCAGGCAGGCTGGGACACAGCTCCTGGCACACCTGGGCATCTTGCTATGCTGAAACACCCTTTCCAACTGCCCCAACTCACCCCACCACCCTCAGTGCCCTTCTGGGGTCCTGCCCACCTCTGCCTCTTGTTCGCCAGGACCTGGTGCCCCGCAGCCCACCCAAGCTCTGATATCAGCTGCATTTGCAGCCAGCAGACACCCGCCGCTGCAGATGCAGGGTGCTGTGGTGGGAGGTGACAGCCCACCCCAGCCCGGCCCCTCACTCACGTCTCACAGCAGCCCACGCCAATGGGGTGCAGGCAGGTGCAGAGCAGGCAGTTGGTGCTCAGCCACGATTCCCCAAGGGAGAACTGTTTCCCTTCGTACTCACAGGGAGCTGCAAAAGAAACAGTAGTGATGAGAACACATGGGCCTGTGCTGAGGGCAAGTGGAAGCCTCCTTGACACCCCTGTGCCCTGAACAGGAGCAGAAGTATCATGATGACCTCTCACCCAGCTTGTGCTATGGAAGATATATGGTGGTCTATCCACCATCCTGCAGGTATGGAATGCCCTGTCATCTCTCATGGGTGGTGTACCCCTCCATCCTCTCCTGGCCCTGTCCCCGTTGGTCTAGAGCAAGAAGCAAGTGGCTCTTGCTTCCCTGGAGAGGACAAATCCAGCACCCATTAGGGTATGGGCATTTCTGCAGCCCTGGGAGGAGACAACAGAGGGATGAGCCACCCTCCTCCCTTTGCTGCTAGTCCTGCCCACTCGGCCCCAGCCAGGTGCCTTCATGGCCCAGAAAGCTGTTTCTCAGCCAGAGCCCTGGGGAGCTGTTCTGTGGTTTATAGACTGCTCCTTCCACTCACCACTGGCCCATGATCCCATTCCTGAGCTCAGCACAGTCCCTTCCATTCTTCTCAGGCATAAGGAAGAGCCCTGCCGTGCTAGGAAAGCTGAGGCCTCCTCTTCCTATCAGCCTCTTCCCATCTCACCTCCCCACTTACCTTTAGCCTGGAAGTAGCATTTGGCCTGGGAGCCCGGCAGCTGGAGGAGCAGGGAAAGCATCAGGCAAAGCCTGCCCCAAGCACACCTCATCTTCTGTGCTTGCATGGCCGTAGATGGTTGAGCTGGACTTGTTCACTTCGCTTCTCTGTTGCCTTTGCTCCTTTGCCTTCTCTTTCTCTTTCTCTCTCTCTGCCTTTTTAATGCTCTTCCCCTGATCCCAATGAGAGATATTTATAAAGTTCAGCTTTACGACCCTGGCCACCAGCTGTGCCCCACTGGAAAAGTTGTAAAACTCATTTCCTGATTTGAAAGGCATGAAAACAAGAGGTAGGATCAAGATTTTTAACAAGCTGTGAAAAGCTGATTCATGCCCTCCAGAAATTTCTCCAGTTGGAAGCCCCTGTGGGTGCAAGGCTCCACAGCAAGGGGAGATCCAAAGGTCTCCAGCAGCGTTGCCCTCTGCAGTGTGGTGAGCACGTAAGCAGCAAGCACGGGAGACCCTGGCTCCTGACCAGGAGAGCTCCAGGCTCCCCTGTGGTCATGCTGAGCCGTCACTCCTTCACAGCAAGCCAAGGTTTTGGGAGCATCCCATCTCACAGTGACCCGAGCAGCACAAGCATTCTGCTAACAGTGTGGGATGCAAATGGCACCATCCTCCTTTGGGGACGGAGGCGCTTGCACCCACTCCTGAGTACCACATCATGGCACTTCCACCCCAGCCTGGGCTGCAGCTGTGCCAGGTTCATAGCCATGCATGGGCTGGGGATGGGGACAGCAGGTTTAAAATCACAGAATCATAGAATCACAAAGTCAGAGAATCACAGAATATGCTGAGTTGGAAGGGGACCATCAGGATCACCATGTCCAACTCCTGGCCCTGTGCAGGACAATCCAAGAATTCCAGCATGTGCCTGAGATGTTGTCCAAGCACTTATACTTGGTGCTGTGACCAGAGCAGACAGTGCAGGAACTACAACTGAAGCAGAATAGGAGAATGAACCAGGGCTCATCTGAGCAGTGCCCATGAAAGAGGACTGTGCCTGTGCATCCGGAGCACCCACAAGGTACTGGGGCTGAGCATCCTCTTCCAGGGGCTGCAGACTGGCCCCAACAGAACCAGGAAACAGGATGGTTAAAATTAGGAGGCAAAAGTGCTTTTGGGCAACAGGTAATCTGAGAGGTAAACGAGTGACTTGGCTTGAAGCAAGGACCTGTGGGAAGGTGCCACATCACTCAGGGTTGTGCCTGTGGACCTCACAGACCCTCACCCAGAGGGACTGCCTCTGTGTAGAAGTGATAAGGCTGTTATCAGCTGGCAGTGAGCTGAAGTGCAAGAGGGAGAAGGTCAGAGCTCTGGGAGCCACTTGGCCCCGGAGAGCTACAAGCAAAGGGCTGACTAGCCAAAAGAAATTTGCAACCCTGGTCAGAGGTGCTGCCAGCAGCAGGAAACAGGGCTCTGGGGATGGTCCAGCCGGGGGCTCAGCCAGCACAGGGCCGTGCCAGCAGTGAGGCAGCATCAGCAGCAGTGGCATATGTGGGTCATCTGCCCCTGCTTTAAGCTCCCTGTTCCTGAGAGTTTGGGATAAATTTACACCTTGACGCGTGAGGCTTAATATCCCTGCCAGAATTTGTATTGGCATTCACTATTATAGCTGGACATTTTTCTTATCCCTATAAGTGCCCAATCCCTCATTGAATCCTGCTAAATTTTGGCCCGAGCATTTTCCTGTGGCAGTCTAATTAAGCACAGAGTGAGAAAGAAAAATGCTTCCTTTTATCCGCTTTATCCGCTTTGGATTCACCACCTTTGGATTTGAAGGCAGAGTCCCTTCCCTTTGGTGCTCTGGGCCCTTTGCCATCTCATTGCATCCATCTCCTACAGCTTGTGCTCTCACTGCTGAGGGAGAAGCCCTGGCTTTGCATTCCTTCTTCCCCTTAGAGAATTATCCCAGCCCTGCTGTGGTGCCACAGGTGATGCTGTGTCCCTCGGCGGGGTGGCTGGATGGCAGCGAGTGTGGGATCTGTTAGGAAAGGCTGATAACAAATCAGAGAAATGCTGGGCACACCCTGCTGACCGTTGAGCCATGAGATGGTGGAGTGTATCAGTGACAAATGGAACTTGCCCTTTGGTGCAGAGTTGTTACTATATAAGGAGGATAAAAGTGTTCGTCATCAGAGCACTTAATTAATATTCCTATTGTGTGTTTGGAAAAAGAAGTCTGGCATGCTAGTAACTGCAATGAAATAATCCATCATTGTTTCATCAACAAGAACAGCAAATGTTAAAAAAAAAAAAAAAAAGAAGGGGTGGGTTTCACTCAGAGGCCCACAGGATTTATACAGGCTTCCAGAAGAGTGCTCAAAACCTAGAGCGACAGCATCTCTTGGCTGTGGGGAAGGGCATTGCCCCTGCTCCATCAGGGACATGGAGAGGTATTCTCAGGATTTCTGTAGCCATTATGGTTCATTAAATAGAGGGTTAAAGCTACAAGTCCATTCATGGCCATTGGGTTTTTCACCTAAGTGCTTTGCTGGGAAAATGCAGAGAAAAATAGGAATGTCAGGACGTCTCTTGGCACACTGCAAAGGGACCAGGGCAGGGGAGCACCATCCACACTGTGGCTATGCATAAAGAAAGGGGCTGGTGACCCCCCATAGCCTGCTGATCCTGCTATTCCCCCTCCTGACCACTTTCCTTCCCCCACTTCTGCATTCCTGGGCACCCACCTGTCCCCAGCACACACAATCCCCTGGGTGATCCAGGTTGTACAGGAGGGGGCTCGTAATTTGGAAAGCAATAATTGCAATTGGACTTGGTGCTTCAGAGCTCCTGCCCGGGCTCTTGAGAGTACTGTGGCAAGAGGAGCTGACACTCTGTCCTGCTGTGCCAGCCTGGAGGAGGTTTTGATGCAGAGATTGAAAAGAAGCAGCTGCTTTTGGTCTTGCATCTTGGGGAACAGCTGAGACCCGGGGAAGAACCACAGAAAGGATAAAGGGGCTGGAAGAATTGCCTCTCTAGAACGTCAGTCACTTTGATTTACCAGGCAGAGCCCCACAGAAGGGATCACTGCCTGTCCACGTGTGTGCCAGTGAGGAGCAGTCACCATCTTTGAGTATCCCAGGATCCTGCAGAAGGTCACATCCATGTCTCAGCATCCTCCCAGCAGGACCCAGCTCTCCTGCCTGGCCTGGGTTCAGATTGTAGCTGTGCCCAAGAAAAGCTGGGTGCTGCACCCCACCAGGGACACAGCTTGGCTGTTCTCCTCTCACAGCAAATCCCTCTGCAGAGCAGAACACCCAGTGCCAGGGATGGGACCCCATGGATGGGGAAGGAAGAGCACCCAAGCCAGTGGCTCTGGGATGAGGTGGCAGCAGCCCACCCCAGCACTGCAGGAGGTTTAGGGGGTAATAACTGATGCTGGACAAGTTGCCATCAGCAGCATCCAGGAGGGTTATAAAACCTGAATCTCCTGAGCCTTCAGCTGGAGCTGCAGCTGCAGAGCAGGAAGCAAACAGGATCCTGGCTGGCATTGTGAAAGCAAACACCATAAATCCAAGGAAGTGCTGTGATTGCTGTTTTAGGCACTGGGGAGCTTGGCTCCTGGTCCCCAAAGAGATTTTATTTTCTCTCTGAACAAAAAAAAAAAAAAAAAAAAAAAAAAAAAAAAAAAAAAAAAAAAAAAAAAAAAAACCCCCCCAAAAAAACCAAAAAAACCCAAAAAAAAAGTCATCAGAGCACTTAATTAATATTCCTATTGTGTGTTTGGAAAAAGAAGTCTGGCATGCTAGTAACTGCAATGAAATAATCCATCATTGTTTCATCAACAAGAACAGCAAATGTTAAAAAAAAAAAAAAAAGAAGGGGTGGGTTTCACTCAGAGGCCCACAGGATTTATACAGGCTTCCAGAAGAGTGCTCAAAACCTAGAGCGACAGCATCTCTTGGCTGTGGGGAAGGGCATTGCCCCTGCTCCATCAGGGACATGGAGAGGTATTCTCAGGATTTCTGTAGCCATTATGGTTCATTAAATAGAGGGTTAAAGCTACAAGTCCATTCATGGCCATTGGGTTTTTCACCTAAGTGCTTTGCTGGGAAAATGCAGAGAAAAATAGGAATGTCAGGACGTCTCTTGGCACACTGCAAAGGGACCAGGGCAGGGGAGCACCATCCACACTGTGGCTATGCATAAAGAAAGGGGCTGGTGACCCCCCATAGCCTGCTGATCCTGCTATTCCCCCTCCTGACCACTTTCCTTCCCCCACTTCTGCATTCCTGGGCACCCACCTGTCCCCAGCACACACAATCCCCTGGGTGATCCAGGTTGTACAGGAGGGGGCTCGTAATTTGGAAAGCAATAATTGCAATTGGACTTGGTGCTTCAGAGCTCCTGCCCGGGCTCTTGAGAGTACTGTGGCAAGAGGAGCTGACACTCTGTCCTGCTGTGCCAGCCTGGAGGAGGTTTTGATGCAGAGATTGAAAAGAAGCAGCTGCTTTTGGTCTTGCATCTTGGGGAACAGCTGAGACCCGGGGAAGAACCACAGAAAGGATAAAGGGGCTGGAAGAATTGCCTCTCTAGAACGTCAGTCACTTTGATTTACCAGGCAGAGCCCCACAGAAGGGATCACTGCCTGTCCACGTGTGTGCCAGTGAGGAGCAGTCACCATCTTTGAGTATCCCAGGATCCTGCAGAAGGTCACATCCATGTCTCAGCATCCTCCCAGCAGGACCCAGCTCTCCTGCCTGGCCTGGGTTCAGATTGTAGCTGTGCCCAAGAAAAGCTGGGTGCTGCACCCCACCAGGGACACAGCTTGGCTGTTCTCCTCTCACAGCAAATCCCTCTGCAGAGCAGAACACCCAGTGCCAGGGATGGGACCCCATGGATGGGGAAGGAAGAGCACCCAAGCCAGTGGCTCTGGGATGAGGTGGCAGCAGCCCACCCCAGCACTGCAGGAGGTTTAGGGGGTAATAACTGATGCTGGACAAGTTGCCATCAGCAGCATCCAGGAGGGTTATAAAACCTGAATCTCCTGAGCCTTCAGCTGGAGCTGCAGCTGCAGAGCAGGAAGCAAACAGGATCCTGGCTGGCATTGTGAAAGCAAACACCA